TAATGCCTACACTTTATAGGGTTGCTGTAGGAATTAAATGGCATATAATAATATCAAGCACTTCTGTAGCATTAATATGAGAAGCAAATCCAGTAACACTATTTTATTATCCTATCTTGAATAGTGGAGTCCTGGTGGTGCAGTGGTTAAACAGCTATGGCTGCTAACCAAAGAGGAGAAAATGGTGGTTTAGCAACTGGAAAACCAAAGGAAAAAAAGAAAGGACTCTTGATAATTTAACTGCCTCATTCTTTCTGCATATTCCACTGCTGCTATTTTATCTTTGCAATCTTAAGTGAAAAATGAAAGCAGCACCTTTCAGTAGAGGTTAATGATCATAAGAGAGGTGGAACTACTGTCTGAATTTTTAGGTTAGCCAAATTCTGCCAGACAATCATATTATGATGGGATGGGGAAAAACATACAAGTAGACAAATCTATAGCATGCGTCAGTAAACTACAACCAATCTTCTTGAAAGATTACTATATTTTGGTGTCTCAATATACAGATTTCTCAGTCTACAATCTTTACACACAGTAAGGTTTCTGCCTCCTCCATTCCCATGAAGATGTTCTAAGAAAGAGTATCAATGACATCAGCTAGACCTGTTATTGCTATTGCATGTGTTATTATTGGCTCCTCTTCCCCTGCCCACTCCTTTAACACCTACGGCTCCCAGAGCTTTCCAGTCGATCCACGACTGTTCTCCCTCTATAGAATTGTCAAGGTTCTAATTACTACCCAAATGCAAAAGACTCCAGATATCTCCCCTGAACTTTAGACTCCCGTATCCCACTGCACACAGTACTTTCCACATAGGTGACTCAGTAAACTTACCTTAAACTCAACATGCTGAAAATCAAACACACCATCTTGGGTGGCTCTTCATTATCTATAAAATCCAAGCCCTCCTTGATCTGGCTTCCCACTATTACTTCAGCCTCATCCTCTGCCATTCAATATTTATCTTTCTGAATGCCTAGTAAAATAAAATTACCACCTAATATTTACTGGATGTCCATTAAATGTCAGGCCCTATTCTAAGCACTTCATATGATTAACTCACCAATCTCCACAGGAATCTCCTAAGGTAGATGCCATTATCCTCATTTTACACTGAGGAAAGTATCTTGCCTAAGCTAGTAAGTAGTACAGTCAGTATGCAAACCTAGAGCCTGTGCTCCTGACCTTTACACTGTGTAATTTCTCATAAATGCCTAGCATATACCAGGCACCGTCCTGGGAATTCGATGGTGAAAATGACAAATACGGCCCATGTCCTCATGGGACTGACATTCTAGTTGTTGTTGTTGTTGTTAGGTGCCCCTGAGTCGGTTCCAACTCATAGTGACCCTATAGGACAGAGTAGAACCGCCCCATAGGGTTTCCAAGGAGTGGCCAGTAGATTTGAACTGCTGACCTTTTGGTTAACAGCCAAGCTCTTAACTACTACGCCACCAGGGGTCCAACCTTCTAGTAAGGGAAAAGAATAAATAAATGAATAAAAAAACGTATTACAGATTGTTAAAAAGCACCGGGAAAAAATAAACAGGATTTTATGATAGGAAATAACAGAGATAGATCTACTTAACAGTGATGAATGGTCCCTTTGAAAAATTACTTTTAAAGTGAGACCTAAAGGATGAGAAGGCACCAGCTATGCAAAGGGGTGGGGTATTTAGAAAACACAAAAATAGGAAAGACCTGGCTGTTCTGTAGAAACTGACAAAGACCAATGTGCTAGAATATAAAAAAGCAATGGAAGTATTAATATGCCAAAGACTCTTAGGCCTACAGGTGGTAGATGGACCTGAAATGGGGTGATAAGAAAAACAGTCCCTGGTGCAGGGTTTTCAGCTGGGTGATACTGGATTTGGAAATGTATAGGTGTGGTTTTTGTTCTCTCAGTCACTGGGAGATTTTACTAACATAAAGTGCCTAGAGGCCACTATATTCCACCCTGGGATGCACAAAACAGTCCCAGACAACAAAGAATTTAACTCTTCCCAAAATGTTAACAATGCTGTACTGAGGAACAATAGCTAATGGATATGCTTTGTTCATCCAGGGGACTATAGAAAACTTAGATTTAGACTTCTTCTGTAGTTCTTACATGACCAAGGATAGTTCTGAGCTAATTCTGGTCAATTAATAAATTTGTTGCACCTATGTACAAGGAACAGTGTTGAATACTTTGGAGCATACCCAAATGAATCAGACACCAATCCTAAGCCTAAGAGCCATGGTAAGGGAGATGTAATACCTTATGTTATCAAATCTAAGGTACCATCAATTGTAAAATGTATCATTTTATGAGCTAGTGAGAAGGGAACAAGAATGCCAAGTAAAACTACGATACCAGTTGTAAAATATATCCTAATTTGAGACATGTTAAAATGTGAAAAAATATGCATCCTAAATAAATGAAAAAGAATATGAAAATAATTAGCTAAAATGCAAATAGCAGCCAAGAATCATACAGAAAGAGTTTACCGAAGAGATAAAATACATACAGGTCTGGTAATCACAGAATGCTTCACACAGAAGGTTGTATTTAAGCCAAGTCTTGAAGGACAGGCGGAAGTAGAAAGTGAAGAGATTGAGAAAAAGAATATTTTTAGACAGAGAAAGCTGCAAGAGATAAGCATAACAATAATAAAGTGAAGGTTATCTAGGGAGAAACGTTTATAGAAAAACATTGCTGAAAGATAGAAAGATGGGTTTGGAAAACCTTGAAAACAGATAGGCTAAAGAGGTTGAAATTTATTGCAAAGGCTTGGGCAATGGCTCTCGAGACTTTTTTCCACCTTGAAAACACTTTGGGGCTCTAATATACATCAGTAATATGGCTCACTCTACTAGTGATTCTCAACTGTGGAAGACGGGAATGCAACAGAAGAGATTAATTCTTGTGGGAGTATAGTTTGAAAAAGCTCTCCAGAAAATCCTAACCTCTATCTCCACCCCACCTTGAGAGTTACTCTACATTGTACTAGAGAACCCCTAGAGAAATCTGAGTAAGCCAAGTGATTCAGGTTACGTTTCAGGAAGCTAATCCAGTAGGAGTCCCTGGGCAATGCAAACAGTTAATGTGCTCAACTGCTAACCAAAAGGCTGGAGGTTTGAGTCTACCCAGAGTCACCTCAAAAGAAAGACCTGGCAATCTACTTTAGAAAAGTTAGCCATTGAAAACCCTACAGGGCACAGTTCTACCTTGACACACACGAGGTCACCGTGAGTTGGAATCTACTTGGCAGCAACTGGTTTGGTTTTGGTTTTTTAATCCAGTAGGATTATGTAAAAATGAATAAGAATTAGAATAAAGGTTAAAGACATAATTTACATAAGAAGCTGATATTCCAGGCAAGAAGTTACAAAAATCTGTATTAGGTTAGTGATAATGTGGAAAATAATGGTGGAACTATGACAAGGAACAGAAAAAATAAAGAGAAGAAAAAGTTGAGGACACAAGATAGTAAGCTCGAATAAGGACAAGTGCATTCTAAAACATTGGTGGGTTATCCAGGTATAACAGGCATCCAATATTGGAAAGAATGAAAGAGTTAGGTCTGGAAAAATAGATGTGAACACCATCTTAAAAAAGGTAGTTAAAGCCATAGTTTGGATAAGGCTCCAAAAAGGATGCAAGAGAAGATATTCCAAAGACAAATATTTTTGAAGTGAATATGTATTAAAGCATTTAATTGCTTCATTGCAAGTAACTATTCTCATATCTTACAATAAGCTCATGCTGATGATCTTCATCATTGCTAATTTTACCACTAGGGAATTAATAATAAAAAAGCAAAGCATAGTAAAGATAAAGAATGTGCTCAGGATCATATAAAGCAAGACAAAAAACCCAAAGCATTTTATTAATTTCTAATCTAATATTAAAGCCATTTATACATGCCACTTCTGTTTGTGTTTCTGTGTGTGTGTGCACGTATAAATTTAGTCAAAAAGCGGTAGTCTACACCTTTGAAGCAGCACCTGAGAGCAATCAAGAATATATGATGTAGGTTATAAGAAGAATCAATGTTCTGGTTCCTAAATGGTGTTAGTGTAAACATTCATAATTATCCAGTCCATCTGAGAAAAACAGCAGTTATAATATCAAACTGTTTTCTCCCTTAGACACATTTTAAAATAGTTTAAAAATATTTAAGATCAATATTTTAAAATTCGGTATTTTTAAAGTATTTTTAAAGCATACAGGCAATGTCATCTTTGTACACAGCAAAGTGAGGTTTCAAGTCACACACGGAAAAATAAAGAAGAAAATCTATACTTCTCTGGTGTTAAACACTTACATGTGCTATAAATACACCAACATGAACAGCTTTAATTAAATTCTATTCATTTTGACTAAAATACCTTCTGAAAACAAACTTCCTCCAAGAGTGGGGCAGTAGGGATTGCAGAGAAGAAGGAAAGAAAAAAGGAAGAAAGGAAAAAAAAAATGCAAGGAGAAAAGGAGGGAAACAAATAGAGTGAAAAAACAGGAGAGAGAAGGAGAGGAGGCAAACCAGCCTAAGAACCAGCTAACAGAGTAAAGATGTAAAGATCATTACAATACTCCATAACAGATTAATTGAGCAAAAAGAATGAGGCAGTACTTTTCTGAAAGCTGGGTGTGATATTAAATGGTATTAAAGCTTCTTCAAAATTATACAGGCTATCTGCACTACACTGCAGGCACTTCTCTCGAAATACTGAGAAGTCAAAGGAATCTGACAGGGAAGGCACAGGCCAAACAGCACACAAATTGCAAACTGTCTAAATACTCAGACAAACTGAGATGGCAGATATCAAAATAGGATGTTAATAGTTTGTAAAAACACTCTCTTGTGCTACTTTAGGACAAATTCTGCATAAGCAAATTCCCTCAAAAGAAAAAAAAAAAGGCCAAGTAACTTCCTAAAACTAAATGTTATACAATAACACTATGGTCCAACTTATACACAGCAAGAAAAGTTTTGAAAAAAATTTGAAATACCTCAGTCTGACCTTCATGGGCACTGGTCTCGTGAGTAACTCGAATGGCCTGAAATAACAATACAAGGTATTTTTAGACAAAAAATCACTATATCCAACTTTTTAAATGGAAAAAAAAAAAAAAAGCTAAAATTTAACATCTAAAGCCTTGTTTATAAATAATAAACTGGAGGAAATTAAGAAACAGTTATAGTAGATATTTAAGAATGATATCTGAGTAATCAAATGAATTGCTGTACTTTCTAACCCACAAATCTCTGAGGATTTAGGAAACTGAATACCAGGCCTAAGTAGCAGTCAGTCACGCAGCGTGTTTAATTGTTATAACTAACACTTGCCAGTTTATTCAATGGAAACCAGAATAAAGCAGGAATCACACAGATAGAGACTGAAAAACCATCTCACATCTGTTTCTCCATGTCACATGCTCCTCTGCAGCTCTGGCTGAATTTATGCTTAATCATGCAGCTTCAGTCGGCAGTTTAGAAACATCAAGCAAAACGCATGCATTTATCAGAAGCTAGAGAATTTGGTTTCCAGAAATTCTTTTTTTTTAAATGTTTTTAAAATATCCACTATTAGCAAGGGTGCAGAGAAATGGGCATACTAGTAAATGCAGGTAAAAGTACAATCTTTATGGATGACAATTTGGCAATAAATATCAAAGTCTTAAAAACATGCAAACTGTTTGAACCAGCAATCTCTTCTAGGAATTTATATATTTACATATAAATTGTACACAATTATATATAAAGATATTTGCAAAGATTTAGCTACAATGATGTACCTAAAATTTAGCAATGTTTTTTAAAGTAGTGAAAAAGAAGAAAATACATAAAATTTCTGACAATAATTTATTAGTTAAAAAAAATACTATACAATGGAAAGCTATGCAGCCATTAAATGATAATGTCAATATATACTTACTGGCATGTATTACGTTTGTGATAAGTGATAAAAGCAAGTTATAAAACAGTATTACAGTGTGATCAAATTTTTGTTCAAAAAAATTGTGTACACACAGACTCCCTATAAAAATGGTAATGGTTGCTACACTCGTTGGTGGGATTACAGGTAATTTTTATGTTGTTTATTTTCAAGAAAAATAAAGATGTTTTGTAAAATCTTAAAGTTTTTTAAAGTAATAACTTAAAACAGTCAAAAGTATATTGGAATGCTAAAAAAGATAATAAAATCAATGATATATTGAGCACAAACTGCACAAGGCATTATTCTAGCCAAATAATTTGTATAATATACTGCCTCTAATTTCAAAGAATTTACAGTCTACTTAGTGATGTTATAAAAGACAAAAAGTCTCCAAAAGAAAAAAATAGAAATCAAAAATTATATTTTAAAAACAATTCTATGAAGTTGTAAAATCATTTAAAACTAGATTATGTGGCCTGTGTCTTTGCACATGCAAAAAAATTATTAGACTGATAAAATAGCTAGAGTATGGTCTAATATCTACTTTAAACCTTTGTTTTTTCCATTTGTCTTCAGCCTCGTTCCAAATTCCCAGTGAAAGACACATAGGGTACTGCCAGTCATATATTTATTATTGAGAGGGAATGGTAAGGAATAGTCAATCGTAAGATGTTTTACTAATTTATAAATCAAACTGCTTTTATTCTCTCATTCACCTCTGGATGTAGAAGTGTTAATTTATTAATATTTATGAATATTTCAGATAATATTACCTGAAAAGTACAAAAGGTCTTTTTTAATGGATACAAGAAAATCCATACTTGTTCAAAACTATAGTGTCAAGATAAACCCCAAACAGAGTCTACTATCCCACAAAACTTTGCCCACGTATTAAATCAAGACAGAGAGAAGGTACCGACATCATAGTTCTCCAGGTATCTGGCTCTTTCTTCAGGGCTCATTGAAACAGATTCCTCCAGGAATTTTTTCAAAGTTGATCCAGATTCTTAAAATATTAAAGAAGGTATAATTGAAAACTTTACAAAACTTGGTTATCTCAAAGAGGCGGATATATGAAAATGCTAGAAGCATGCTAACTACTTTTAGGTAAAAACTCTTCTACTCATAAATTAAGAATATAATAAAATATAAAAGAATTTTGTAAAATGCACATCAAATTCAAATATAAACAATATCTAATAGTGTAAAAGACAAGAAATTTTAAAGATTTGTGGCATTATACCTTGTATTTTAAAAATAAAAAAAAAGACAGAGGAAGTAACACTAGGGGAGAAGATAATGTGCAATCAATTTGTAAGGAAAAAATTAAATGTTGGGATAAATTATAGGGCTTAAATTATTTGTTTGTTAAACTCCTATTTATCAACAAATAAAAGAATGGAGAGGGTAAATATTTTTTTCTGACAGTATATGCATTTTCATTACAAAAGAAAGAAGGGGGGAAATGCATTATACTTTGGAAGAAAGAATTAGAGCACCACCTACTGCTCAATGAAGTTACCTTATATCTTAAGCGGGGAAAAATAGCAGTAATGAAAAATTATTTACCAAAATGCATCTTGTCTTTATTGTTAGCAATAGCATGGATCAGTCCAATTGTTCCACAGGCATTGCTGATTGTTTGCTTCATGAAATATACTGATGATGTAACATCCTGTCCCTGAGATTTTATTTTTTCCTCCTCTTCTGTTCTGAATACTTCATACTGTTAAAAAAAAAAAAAATCAGTAGTCTATATGAAGAAAATAACATTAAAATTAAAAAGGAATGAAGAACTGGATGGTGCCCAGCTACCATTACTGAACATTCTGATGAAAGCTTCCATAGAGGAATCCTGTTCTAAAGGGGAAAAATGCAGAACAGAATTTTAAATTCTCATGGACTCTAGACTTTCTGGAGCCATGGAGGGTACATGAAACCCTGAAACCATTGTCCTGAGATAACCTTTAAACCTTAAACCAAAAATATCCCCTGAATTCATCTTAAAACTGAGTAACAGTTTAGCTTAAACTAATAAAATAGGTCTGCCTTGGGCATTATGCTCTTAGAAGAATTATATATATGCAATCAAATTGACAACAGCAACTTTAACCTTAGGGCACAGTGAGTTTATGTTAACAAGAGAGGAACAACTCAAAGAAAAGGAGGGTGAGAATGGTTGCACAACTCAAAGAATGTAACCAATGTCACTAAATTGTACACACAGAAACTGTTGGTGTATGTTTTGCTATTAATATTCTCAACAACAAAATAAATAAAATTTAGAAAAAAAATTAAAAAGGACTAAAACACTTAAAAAAATAGAAATGACTTAACTTATTTTTAAAAAGACTTAAAGTGAAAGAATTGTCACCTATAGGCTGATACAGATTGAAAAAAGAGTAATAGTATCCCACGTTGCTAAGAGTGTGGGCTAAAAGGCATCCACATATGCTATTATTAAAAGTCTACACTTGTTCAAACTTTCTGGAGGATATATGGCAATGTCTGTTAACATTTTAAACATGCATATCCTCCAACTAGCAATTTCCTTTGAGGAGTTTGGTTTAAGACATAATTCTTTAAAATGTGCAATGATATATGTATACTTTTAAGAACATGAAACTGGGAAAATTCTAAATATCCATCAATGGGGATTATGGTGCACAGTACTGCAAATACATTAAAGCATTTTAAAAAGGCTAAAGTTGATTTACATGTTCCAACTTAGAAATCTGTCCATGATTACAGTATATATTAATATTAATGTAACAATCCCATTTATGTTTTAAAAATATTTATATATGCATTAAGAAGTCTGAAACTAATAAATTAATGGGTCTAGACAATAAACATCAATGGTTGGTACCACAGAGAAAAAACTGCCAAGACATTATGCTTTTCCTGAAGGAAGTACAAAAAACCATGTAAGAAGCAGTCGTGCTCCCTCCCTACCCCTCGCCATCCCCACCCCCAAAAAAGGCAAGTCTTGAGTCTGACCAAACCTCTAAATCTATTAATTTATTGCAAACACAAAGGAGAAAGAATGTACTAAACAGCACCACAAGGATGTGATCATCCTCAAAATCACCAAGTTTATGGGAAACTTCAGGCAAGCCATCAATTTCTTCAACAACAAAATGCAAGAAAAAAAAAAAAAGAGGCGAAGTGGAGGGGATCCCATAGATTAAAAGAGATTTAAGTAACATCACAATGCATGACCTGATGTGACTCTCCATTCAAATAAATAAACCTTTGAAAACATATAAGATGAAAAAAGAAAAAAACCAAAAAACCTTAACAGGGGTTATCTCTGGGGCAAGAGATTATCTGAGGACTTTTACTTTCTGTTTTTTACATTTCTGTATCATTTATTATTGGCAATGGCACTTTTCAAAAATCATACTATATTCATGCCATTCACACTATATTTATAATCATAATTTATTCATAACAAAAGTTCACTATTATCTATAATAACAGGTTATAAAAGCAATATGGTATAATGTGTGGGCTCTACAGCTGACTACCTGGGCCATATCTGGGCTCCACCACTTCTAGTTGTATGACTTTGGCAAGTTAAACTTAGGTCTCTGTGCCTCAGTTTCCTATTTGTAAAAAGGGTGTTAAAAATAATAAAGCCAAAAAAAAAAAACAAAAAACAAAACCCAAACACGTTCCCGTCGTGTGGATTTCAACTCACAGCGGCCCTACAGAACAGAGTAGAACTGCCCCATAGGGTTTCTAAAGCTGTGAACTTTACGGAAGCAGGCTGCCACATCTTTCTCCCACAGAGCAGCTGGTGGGTTCAAACATCGGACTTTCTGGTTAGCAGCCAAGTGCTTAACCACTGCCCCACCAGGGCTCCTTCCAAAGATAATAAAGGAATTAAAAATGAGTGAGGAAAAGGAGGAGAAGGAGAGTAGGAGGAGAGCAAAAAGATGATTTTGTTTTCCTAAATTTTTCAGATTCCTGAATTTTTCAGATTCCAATTAGAGCAACAAAATACAGCCTGCAGGCCAAATTCCGCCTGCTGCCTCTTTTCGTAAGTTTTATTTACGTATTGACCATGGCCTGATGATCTTCTTCTAAAAAAATCAGTCACTGAAAACCTTATGGAGCACAGTTCTATTCTGACACACATGGGATCAGCATGAGTGGAAGTAGACTCAATGGCAACTGTTTGGTTTGGGGTTTATGGCTGTTTTCATGCTACCAAGCAAGGCTGAATAATGCAACAGAGACTAAATATTTACTATCTGGCCCTTTACAGAAAGTTTGGAGATTCCTGCAATAGAGGAAACAAATGCTGTCTATAGAAAACCCATAATTAAGAAACTGCTTTCTAATAACAAATGTATGTATCTGTCATAGACCGAATTGTGTCCCCTAAAAATATCTGTCAACTTGGCTAGGCCATGATTCCCAGTACTGTGTGACTGTCCATCATTTTGTCATCTAATGTGATTTTTCTATGTGTTGTAAATCCTACCTCTATGATGTTAATGAGATGGGATTAGTGGCAGTTATGTTAATGAGGCAGGACTCAATCTACAAGATTGGGTTGTGTCTTAAACCAATCTCTTTTGAGATATAAAAGAGGAGGGTGGAGAGACAGGGGGACCTCATACGACCAAGAATATAGAGCAAAGAATGCACGTCCTTCGGACTCAGGGTCCCAGCACTGAGAAGCTCCTCAACCAGGGGAAGACTGATGACAAGGACCTTCCCCCAGAGCTGACAAAGAGAGAAAGCATTCCCTGGAGCTGGCATCCTGAATTTGGACTTCTAGCCTCCTAGACTGTGAGAGAATAAACTTGTCTTTGTTAAAGCCATCCACTTGTGGTATTTCTGTTACAGCAGCACTAGATAACTAAGACAGTATCTATACTTAAATTCTTATGAATGTGCTTCTAAATCAAATTTTTAACTAACATTCTTAAAATAAACAAACACTGATTCATTCATATAACTTCAATCGATAAGAACTTCGGAAAGGTTCAATATAGTATGGTCTTGCACTGAAATGTTTATGCAGTATAGGCCTATAGTTTACTTTGTTGTTGTTGTTTAATATCAGTGTTCCTTGCTGACAAGACAAAATGATGGTGGACAACTTCCCAAGATTTAAAGTTTAGGAAAAAAATCCTAAAATGATACAAAGCAAGTACAGGAAAAAAAGAAAAGCAATTAGGGAGACCAAAGAAAGAACACACAGTCAAGAGGCGGGTGGGGACAAGCAACACAAATATCAAAGAGAAATACATTCACAGCCTCTTCACCTATGACTCACTGGCTGGTAAGCACTACTATAAAACATACATTTAAAACACCTTAACTGACTCTATTTAAAGAGTAATGATGTATCTATATATGAGTTTCTAAACTTAAAACTATATGTGAGTTTCTAAATTAGAACTTGGAAGACTGAAACAATTTGTATCTCTTAAAAACATCCATTAGATAGCCTCTGAGTGACAACGTAATATGTCACTTATGAGCTGAAATGGAGATCAAATTGTAAGAGGCATCAAAAAAGTTGCAGATGTCACTGATACTCTGTACCTGTGTGTGTGCGCGCGTGTGCGTGCTAGGTGCCATCGAGTTGTTTTCAACTCATAGCGACCCCGTGTGTTACACAGCAGAACTGCCCCACTGGGTTTTCTGGGCTATAAACTTTACAGAGGCTGATCCCCAGGTCTTTCTCCTGCAAAGCTGCTGCGTAGGTTCGAACTGCCAACCTTTTGGTTAGTACCAAGTACTTAATTAACCAATTTGTGCCACCAGGGCTCCTTAGAGAATATATATAATGGCATGTAAATATATACATACATACCCCAAAATACCCAAAACCAAACCCATTGCTGTCAAGTTGATTCTGCCTCATAGCGACCCTACAGGACAGAGCAGAACTGCCCCATAGGGTTTCCAAGGAGTGGCTTGTGGAGTTGAACTACTGACTTTCTGGTTAACAGCAGAGCTCTTAATCACTGTGCCACCAGGGCTCCAACATACATACTTGTGTGTATGTGTGTGTGTGTGTATACACGTATACACACACACATATACATATATGTATATACACACATATATATACACATACATATATATATATATATACATACACACACACATGCTTATAGAAATACTTATAGAATTGTGTTCATCCTAGCAATTAGGCACAATGAACTTCCTCAGCACGGACGATCCACTGAATGAAGAAGCCCTACTGATAAAGATAACATGCTTTTATAATACTAATGATCCACTAAATGAAGGAAATCAAATACAATTTATTCTTTTAAAAAAATAGTAGGTCATAAAAATCAATGGTTGGGGAAATCTCCAATTCAGACCATAAACTCATATTTGTATCACCCCAGCTAAGAAAACCTAAGCTTTAAGCAGCTGATTTTTTCAGTTTTTATTGCTTCCTATAATTGTGGTCCTGTGATAGTTATCATAAGAGCTTGCTTACTAGCCAAAAGGTTCACAGTTCAAACCCACCCAGAGGTGTCTCGGAAGAAGGGCCTGGTGATCTGCTTCCAAAAGGTCACAGCCTTGAAAATCCTATGCAGCGCAGTTCTACTCTGCAACGCATGGGGTTGCTTTGAGTTGGAACTGACTCGATGACAATGCATTTGGTTTTTGGTTTGGGATAGTTATCTTTTGGCTTATTTTAGCAATAAAAATGGTGAAAATAATACTGGAAGGGTGACTTAAGTTTTCGTCCCAATTGTTATACAAATTAGCTATCTAACTTCAGAAAAATCATGACTTCACCAATAAAATTAGGAGTTTGGTCTAATACTGGATAATCACTAAGTAATTTCCAACTCAAAAATTCTATGAATATTACACACAGAAAATATGAATACTACTTCTTTTATTAAATAATTTGTTTTTGTTGAACCCTTAAGTAGAGAAGGTTTGCAATGTTTATTTTATCTTAAACTGAGGCTAATTAGTTCTTGCACAAAGAAAATGACACAGGAATTTCTAGCACGGAGCTAAGCCTATTTCTTAATTTCTGTGAGATTTGGTTCCATTAATTCCTAAAGAATAGGATGGCCTGAGCATGTATATGCCAAGTCATCAATACCTAATTTCTCCCATATTTTCCCAAATGTTTACTTCTTCGTTTTTTTACAACTACTGAGTTCATACTATTGTTACTAAGTTTAAAAACAAAAATCAGAAGAATATAAACTCAGAAGACGTTTTAAAATACACTTAAAAGTTTTGGCTTTACTATATATAACTATATGACATCATTCTAGAAGAAAGGACTGAAACATAAGGAATTTTGAATTTAAACAGAGAACCAAGAATATCCATAATCCTTAACACATCGTAAATCTGTCAATTAAGCTGTATTTAAGCCTAGTGATTCCTACCCAAATCAAATTATTCTGAAAATAATGTAATCCATGCCATCAGCTTCCCCTACCTCCATAAAGTAAGCTAAGGAGGAGATTTTTTATAAATTGAAAAATTTTGGATATTCTTTATTCTTATATTTTCTAAGATACATTTAAGATTGTTCTAGTCCTTAACATTTCCAAATTATATACTTCAAAATGTGTTAAATGTCACATTAAAACAAAACTGAGGCAAATTAACTCTATTTAAAAAAAAAAACAAAACCCAAATTTAAAAGACTAACCCAGGGCTTTAATGTCAATCTATAAATCAGAATCCAAGTATTATCTCTTTTAACTAAAATTTGAAGATGTCCCCACTGTTTAGATTGCTTGATTTTATGCAAGAAGGAGAGCATCTGTTCTAAAACAAGAATGTATTTTTAATTCAACATTAAAAAAGAACTTTGTATTTACCAGAAACTTTTATCTCTTACTTGACAATTACCTTTTCTGTAATAGGGAAGAGAAGCAACACTGCACAGACTGGTCTTGGTACCATGCTAAGGAGCTCAGGATCCATTCCATATACATCAACAAATTGCCAGTTAGGTTGTAGACCTAACTGTCTGAGAAACTGGTAAAAGAAACAAATGAAAAACAGTAGAGTGTTAATGGATAAAAGTAAAACCAGTATGGTGTCAGCAGGGAAATAATAAACAAGTATGTACTATGCATCTAACACATAAAAAGCAAAACAAGGTACAGATGTTACTGATGTTAAATAAGAATGAAATAAAGCAGGTTTTCCATGAATAAGGTAAAAACATACAGTAATTTATTTATATAAATTGAAAAACAGTTAAAATTCATAATATATTAAGCAGAATCCCCTTTTTCAAAATCTATTATTTTGGGACTGACTCTAATAAACCAGGGCTTCACGAAATACATACAAGTTGGCTTGGTTATATGTTAAGCTCATTCCCAGCACTTGAATTTTAAGGAAATGCATCTAAATTCTACTAAATGGGGGATTATTTTAGTAGATCAACAAAGTTTATCCTACTTGCCAAAAGGATGTCTGGGGTTTACAGATAAGTAGATAGTTAAATATCAAGAATTCTATCAATGAGCAAAGCGTGATATAAAGCCAAAAAAGTCCAAGTGACTTACGTAAATGCTAAAAAATGCTTGATAATAGGAAGAAGCTTCTTGACCTTTAGCACAAAATATAACCCACTCAACTTCTTTGCCTCTCTTATATCTGACCAAACAACTTCAACAAAGGTTACTGGGTTTGAAAGTCTCAAGATTTTCACACACAAGTAAAATTTTGCTGAATATCATTCAAAAGTAGTTGCAGTAGTACATCAACAGGGAACTGCCAGAAACTCAAGCTGGATTCAGAAGAGGACATGGAATGAGGGATATCATTGCTGATGTCAGATGGATCTTGGCTGAAAGCAGAGAATACCAGAATGATATTTACCTGTGTTTTACTGACTATGCAAAGGCATTTGACTGTGTGGATCATAACAAATTATGGATAACACTGCAAAGAATGGGAATTCCAGAACGCTTAACTGTGCTCATGTGGAACCTGTACATAAACCAAGAGGCAGTTGTTTGAACAGAACAAGGGGATACTCTGTGGTTTAAACTCAGGAAAGGTATGCGTCAGGGTTGTATTATTTCACCACATTTAATTCAATCTATATGCTGAGCAAATAATCCAAGAAGCTGGACTATATGAAGAAGAATGAAGCATCAGGATCAGAGGAAGACTTATTCATTAATAACCTGTGATATGCAGATGACACAACCTTGCTGACAGAAAGCAAAGTGGACTTGAAGCACTTGTTGATGAAGATCAAAGACTACAGCCTTCAGTATGGATTTACACCTCAACATAAAGAAAACAAAAATCTTCACAAATGGACCAATAAGCAACATCACGATAAATGGAGATGATGTTGAAATTGTCAAGGATTTCCTTTTACTTGGATCAACAATCAACACCCATAAAAGTAGCACTCAAGAAATCAAATGAGGCAAGGCCAAGATGGCAGAGTAGTCAGATGCTTCTGATGGTCCCTCTTACAACAAAGACCCAAAAAAACAAGTGAATCAATTATCTCTGACAATCTAGGAGCCCTGAACATCAAAGGCAAAGTTGAGGAATCAGACTGAATGGCAGGGGGAGGGAGAGACGGTTTGGAAGCAGCAAGGAGTTGCCAGACCTGAACCAGCAAGAGCCTAAGCCCATCAGGCCTGATCAGCTCGTGGTGTGTGGTGAGGCAGGCAAGCAGTGGTGCTCAGGAGGCTTTTTCCACATCAGGAGAGACCCAGCAACAAAGAGTCTACTTGGCCATCCAGAACCAGTGAGAAGCAGCCCTCGATCAGCAAAAGATTAAGTACTTGAGTCTGGCCTACCACGTGGATCAAAAACACCCCCCTTAGGGAAAAACCTCTGTCCCATTTACCTCCCTGCTCCCTGCTCTGCATTGGGTCCGGGACTGGCTTCAGCAATTGCTGAGTCCCCTGGGCCAGAAGTAGGACCCGTCACGTGCCCTGAGCCATTCTCCTGGCCTTGGAGAGTGAACAAATTAACAAACAGGGGAAAAAAATAATCTGCCGGCTCCCCTAAACCAGGAATTCAGGGTAGGCACAGCTCCTTTGCCTAGACATAGGCATAAGGGATCCACGGACTTTGAGTGCCTTTCCCCCTGCAGAGACTTGTATGGGCCCATTTCAACAGCATAGGCCCTCATTACCGCAGTACAACAGGGTATATACCTGAAGTCTAACTTCAACTGTTTCAGCTGTGAAGTGGCAGGTTTGTGACATTCAACACTGCTCTGCCCATTAAGCAGGGTCTTCATCTACCCACATCAGGGGCCTGAGCACTGGTGGCTCCACCCACCGCCACCTAGCCCCCTGCGACAGGGGCCCAAGAATAAGAGATGTCCCCCAGTCCTCACAGCCAACAGCACTGGGTGCTCATAGTCTAGCTGCAAAACCCACCCATCTACAAGAAATCAAATGACGTATTGCATTGGGCAAATCTGCTGCAAAAGACCTCTTTACAGTGTTGAAAAGCAAAGATACCACTTTGAGGACTAAAGGGTGCCTAACCCAAGCCATAGTACTTTCAATCACTTCATATGCATGCAAAAGCTGGACAATGAATAAGACCAAAGAGTAAATGCCTTTGAATTATGGCTTTGGTGAAGAATGTTAAATATACCATGGACTGCCAGAAGAAGGAACAAATCTATCTTGGAAGAAGTACAGTCAAAATGCTCCTTAGAAGTCAGGACGGCGAGACTTCGTCTCATGTACTTTGGACATGTTATCAGAAGGGACCAGTCCCTGGAGAAGGACATCATTCTTAGTAAAGTAGAGGGTCAACGAAAAAGAGGAAGACCCTCAATGAGAAGGACTGACACAGTGGCTGCAACAATGGGCTCAAACATAGCAACAATTGTGTGGATGGCACAGGACGAGGAAGTGTTTCATTCTGTTGTACACAGGGTCACTACAAGTCGGAACTTACTCGACGGCACCTAACAACAACAAATGATTTCATAAGACAATGAAATGTCAGACCTCAATATATCACAGAAGAGAAAAAGATAAAAATAAAATAAGAATGCCAATTTTGCAATAAATTCTTAATAAATGTCTGCATTAAATAAAGCTGATGACAAAAAAGTGTATCATCACAACACAGATTTTATATTAAAATATTTTATATTAAATATGCGTCATTGTATCTCACTTCAAGAATATATCATAGTATCTATTGGTCTTACATTAGCTGAAATTTAAAAATAAATAAAGGTACCTTGGGTATTTCCCCCTGAGGAATGATCACATGTACTTAAATCATTAAATGAGGTCTTACAAAACCAATGGAAACCATGCCATGTAATATAAATAGCGTTATTCATCTCACACACAGCTGTGTTTTGTAAGACAAGACCTTCCTGTTTAGAGGACTACTCTCTATATCCCTCCATTTCTCTGGCTGTAGAAGAGAACCTACTTAGTAAAAAAATCATTGATCAAAATAAGGTCTCTAGATACTTTTAATGAGAAATTTACTGAATTAGAAACCCTCTCTTGGCACAATGTGCTCAACATCTATTAGTTTCATTCCTGCATCAAGTTACATGCCCTGTTAACAGTCTGGGGATGTGAAGATCAATGGAATCCTCTACATTACATCTATTCTTCACTGATTTCTATTCATGACTGAAGATTTTAATAAAGTTTGCTAAAGCCCTCCACACGACTTCCCTCTCCCCTCTCTACTTCCTCCAAAATTCCCTTCTCAATATCCAATTCTACCTAAAAATCAAAAGGGATTAAAACTGACCACAAAGTCAAGAGAAGGAACTATGTCTTATTCACCTTTTTAATTGCCTAGCACTGTATGGGCCCTGGTGGCAAGGTGGTTAAGAGCTTGGCTGCTAACCAAAAGGTCAGCAGTTTGAATCTACCAGCTGCTCCTTAAAAACGCTATTGGGCAGTTCTACTCTGTCCTATAGGGTCTCTCTGAGTCAGAATCAACTTGACAGCAACGAGTTTGGTTTTTTTTTAATGGGTACCTGGACAGTTCACAAAGATGCTCAAATAATGTTTGTTAAACTGAACTAAATATTACATCTCTATTTTAGATAATCTAGCCATCCATCTGCACATGTCAGTTAAACCTACATTTATAGTAAATATTTAATATATTTGGTTTTTAAGTATTTTATTGTTGTTGAAAATATACACAACAGAACATACACCAATTCAACAATTTCTGCATGTACAATTCACTGACATTGATTACATTCTTCAAGTTGCAACCATTTTCACTCTCTTTTACATAGATTTGTTTTTATTTGTGCCAAGTTAAAGAAGTCATAAGATACATCCGGCCCCTAATCTAAAGACTGGCATTCATTTAATCAACTGTGAATACTAACTACATTGAACTGACAACCCTACAAGGCATACCCTCAAGGATAAGCATCATTAACCCTGGCCCTCTCCAAAAAAAGAAGAAACCCACTGCCACCGAGTCGATTCCAACTCACAGCGACCCTATAGGACAGAGTAGAACTGCTCCATAGGGTTTCTGAGGCTGTAAATCTTTACGGAAGCAAACTGTCACATCTTTCTCCCGTGGAGTGGATGCTGAGTTCAAACTGCCGGCCTTTCGGTTAGCAGCTGAGTGCTTTAACCACTGCGCAACCAGGGCTCCTTATAAACCCTGGTAAGAAGATTTAAATCTATTATTTAATTTTACGTACCCCCGAAAGTCATACTGCATAAAGGTATAAAGTTATAAAATAAGATAGTACTCAGAGTAATTTTACATCTGTGCTGCAAACTAATGGCAACAGTTAAAACATTTTAGCGAAAATAATCTGAACAAAATTGGCAAGTTACTGTGATGGAAAGTTCCTCCATTGTCAATTTGTTCTATGTCAGCCAAAGCTAACAAGTATAAAAAGTACCAAGATCCAAAGGCATCAACTGTAGTGAGAATGATTAACATCAAACCAAGGGCACCGAATGAATGATTAAATAGCAAAGGTTTTAACCAGAACTATACTTTTTTGTTAACTTTTTACTCAT